TTGGTGGTTGACAAAGCAAATTTAAGTTTTCAGTGTTCCATATACATAAAATAACGTATTTTAATGTAACAGAATGAAGTTTAACAGACTGCACTGTGGTATTCACCAGTGAGAAAGATATTGTTGTTAAATTGTCTATACTCAGCTTAGCTGTTTGATAATATAGTTTAGGGCAATATCCTGTGGAATACTGAAGACAATGCAGTTTTGTTGCCCACGGCCAAAATAAACAAAGACTTTGTGTTTCTTTGGAGCTTATGATAGGAACTTTTATTTTGCTTCTACTGGTTTGATAGAGGTAGACATGCTAATGATGGAAGAAACATTTAGAAGGATTTCCAGGAGTCTTTCTTCAGTGGGAATGACTTTTTATTTAGTACAGAGACCCATTTATGCTGGGCTTTCACATAAAAGTAAATAAACCAGACAACGTGGACTGCACTGCAGTTTCCAAGGTTGTGATACTGGAGCAGATTCCTTTGTTTCATACATTTGTTCATTTAATCATTCAGACAAACAAATCTGAAACCCAGCCTAGTTGTGTAGAAGTTGGATGATAGCTTTGACAAACTGGTGTCTACGAAAGCATCGAGAGGTATTAATATTTGTTTTGTTGTTTGCCGGCATTGCAAGGGAGCGTGGTAGGATGGTCCCTATCTCACAGGAACCCAGTGTGACTCCTGGTCAGCTGGTGGCCTGTGATCCACCAACTTAAACACAGGACTTTTTTCATTTAACATAGAAAATCTGCATATTAGTCCAAGTTTGTGATTGCTTTGCAATTAGTTATGTGTGTCGTCATAATACAACGAAGTTCAGGTCACAGAAATCATGCATCAGAGTAATGACGTAAGTAGAAACGTGCCTTTTCTCTGCTGTTTGAGAGAAACAGCAGAGAAATTATTTCAGGGGAGCATAAATAATTCTGAATTTCTGCAATAAAACATCACTTGATGTACTGCTATACATTTTGTGTGCCTTTAACAATAGTTAGCCAAGTAATTTTACTTTTTCTGTATTTCTCAGTGATGGGATACTTACAATTTTATAAAGACCGTGTGTTAGCCATGGAATCCACAAATGAGATCCAGGTACTTGCACTGCATACATTAAATACATCCATTCTGTATGTTGAACTTGAGTATTTAACCCACTGCTGTATTTATTTATTCCTGAAATTCCGTATTACGAAGCTGGTGCCTTAAACCTGGACAGGCACAGGTGAGCTGCGTCTAACACCACCACAGCTGCCAGCAAAATCAGTGAATTGCTCCTTGAGAGGAAGGAAATTGAGTTTTTATTTTCCTCTACAAAATCTGGGAACCAGCAAGGACTACAAGCATGAGCAACAGCATGCAATGAGAAAAGTTGACTTCCTAAGATGTCTTGACAGATTAGGAAAAAGGCTTAGGGTTACAAATACACTTCACAAGTCTTTTAGAGACTATCTAAAATCTTTGTTGTAAGGCTGTGAATCTTTTGAATTGCAGTTGTGTGAAAGCAGGATTGCTTTTTCCATCTGTAAGGCTCTAAGGAGATGAGGGACCTGGTATGATTGAAGCAAGAGCTGGTGATGAGAGTTGACTTTCTTTACCTGCCACCTGCCTTATATCTTTCTCTCAAGAACCAATGAATCATCCCAGTAATCACCTTTTGGTACAAAGATCACAGCAGTAACATGGAGAGTTGCTTGTATTTGGATATAGGGAAAAATACTTAGCTCAGATATATGCTCTGCACAGTTCTTCAGTGATTAGAGTTGGCTGTGCCCGATCAGGGCACTGGATGATCCAGCCCAGTTACTTCTTGAACCTAACACTCAGCCTGCGTAAAACCTAACCAACAAGCAACAGCCACAAAACTGAGCTGTTTTTGTAATGTATTCCATGAGCCAGAGAGTAGAGCCTTTCCTGGCCTTACACATAAAGTATGTGGCTCATGGCCCAAAGCTTGAGGTTCTGTACCCCTTACCCCAGCTTGCAGGGGTTATTGTAGCACTAGCCATAACAAAGGACAGGGGAAAGTTAATGTGGCTTTTCTGTTAGAGCTTCTTGTTCCTTTATAGGAATGAGAAACTGCTGAAGTAGTCTGTATGAGTACTTGAAGCAAAGGAGAAGAATTTGGAAATAAGAATAGTTTATTGAGGTTATTAGCAACTAATTCTGTTTGAAATGTGCTTCTCGTCATGCCTATCATGAGTTATTTTTTCTTTTTCCCTCTCCAAAAATGATTTGCATAATAAATTTACTTCTTTTTTGTGTATGTAAGCATTGTTTGTTCTTCCATTTTCAAACAAAAAAGTTCAGCTTGTGATTCAAAGTTACCTGTTGTGGCAGTTTCCAGCTGTCATACAACGTATGGTTCATCCTCTTGAATCAAAGCTGCGTGTTCATTCTGCTTCCCGGGGAACTGGCTGCAGCTTTTAAAGGGGAATGAGAGATGCTCGGTAAAGACTAGTGCATTTTTGTGCAAATCTAATCTTGATAAAACTCACAAAACTTTCTTAAATAAACGGAATAATAAATTCTTAAAAACACATCAACCATTTGGATTCTTGAATACACATTTACAACTAAATAGCAGTGCCTGGACAAATGTCTTTCATGCCATACCTGATCAGCACAGCACATGTTAACAATTTTTTCATCCTCTGATTAAAAGGGCTGGCTTCCTCAATGGAAGAAGTTTTCACACCATGTGAAGGGGGGTGTCCACAAGTAGCCAGATTTTACGCTTCTTTTCCCACATTGAAAAAAAAGCCTAATTATTAATTAAATGTTAATTCTTTTGAAAGTTGTGGAAGTGCTAATTCAGCATGGCATTTGCAAGCTCCAAAGAGTTGTTTTGTTCAAGGAGCTACTGAGCTTACAAAATTGAGTCTGAATTAGCATTTTCACCACTTGTAGAGATGTAAGGACCTGACGCCCTGTGCTTTCTCAGCATGCTTGGTGCCTCATACATCTATTTCCATTGACGTTGTTACACTTTGTGTACGCAGCAAGTAGGATGTATGTACTACCCGCAGTATGGGATCCAGGGAGATTTTCAGCTCATAGCCTTTGCTGTTTGTAAGAACATCACACTTCAGTGGCTGTAAGCGTGTAAGTAAATGAGGCCAGACAGGAGAGTGCTGCAAATGGAGCCTTTCCCCAAATGCTCCACATGTGGGGCACTGTGCCTGCGTGGGGGTGCAGATAGAGCAGGAGGGATCAACAGGGCAACTTGGGAAACTGTTCAGTAGAAGCCAACACAATGACAAGAAATGGTGGATTTAGATGTTTGTCTTCCAGGGCTTGCTTTCAACCTGGGTATTTGCTTGTAACGTTTCTAACTGGTATTTTCATTGGGTAACTTTTCATTTGGAGATAGCGTATATAAACATACGTACATACTTACACACAGAGAGAGGGAGGGGGATCTTGGGATTGTATAAGCAGCATTTTATATTCAGTACATCAAAATATATGTGTATTTGAAGGACTTAATGGCTGATTCTGAGGCACTCTTCCAAAAATAAGTATCATACCAACACTGCTTTAGAGCAATCACTTTATTGATGTAAATGATGATAATTTCTGGATAGTTTTATGCTCAGTTAAAGAGTGACAAGAAAAAAATCAGATAAGTGAGTAGCAGTATTATTTTGCTCCCGTGCAGTAGATTGATGAGGGAATGCTAGTAAAAGATGCTGGTCTCCCCAGGAAGATGGTGGGGAATAGTGTTTTCCAAAGTGGCCGTGCCCTCATGTTGGGTGTAGGGCTCTCCTGAGCACTTTGAAACAACCTCAAAAAACTCATCTGTCTTGGGGTTCCCATCTGAAACACTGAGACTACTTTATCTCTGCTTTGCTGTGGTTTAGAGAATCAATTGAATTTGTGGGCTTGAATAGTCTTGGATGCAGACAGAGATCCTTGGGATACACTGTGCCTCTCTAAGGGATAATGTTCTCTCTGTTGTGTGTGCAACCTTCGGCTTCAGGTTGCTCCTGTGAGTCCGGGATGGGTTCTTCTCAGCTGACAAGACCCAGCCAGGGAAGTGCAAGCCAGGTGCTCGTGACGGGCTCTCCTGCATGGCTGTATCTCAGAAGACCATCTTTTTCCCCTCGCCCATTGCTAAGGCCTAAACACGTACTTTCAGCCCCCTTACCTTTTGGAGCTGGCAGCAATTCCTCCACCTGAACAGGGCAGTGCAGTCGGCTGCCGCCGCTCTGCCGTTCAGCGGGGTGAGGCAGCCTGCCTCCGGGCAGCCGCGGGGACGGAGGGAGCCCTCCGGGCAGCCGTGGGGAAGGAACAGTGTGTGTAAACCAGGGCAGGCTGTAGCCTCAGGCATGTGCTTACCTCTTCTTATTTAACCAGCTGGAGCAAAGCTATTTTGCATGACTGTGTTTGTTTCCAGATAGATTGGAGATGACACTACTGGTTGTATTAGTAATGTTAGGTTGATATCTCTATTTTCTCTTCTCTCAGTGCTCTGATAACATGGGGTCAGAAAAGGCTTGTAAATACCTCGAGAGACAGGTAACAAACACTGAAGATTCATGAATTATTTTGGTTACTCTTCAGTTGTCAGCAGTTCAGTCTAATTTAGGTGCTGTGACTTCCTTTTCATTTTGGAAATGACAAGTACTTTAGCAATGTATAATCTGTGATGATATTTGATTAAGATCTGATCCTACAAAAAATTAACCATGGGCTAAATGTGTGCATTGGAAGCCTCAGTGACATTCTGAGCAATACAGAAGCACAGAATAGTTTGGGTTGGAAGGGACAACCTCTCTGGGCAACCTGTTCCAGTGTTTCAGCACCCTCAATGTAAAAACATTTCTTGCTTATAGCTAGTCTGAATCTCCCTTCTTTCGGTTTAAAACCCCTTGTCCTGTTGGACCTATTAAAATCATACACAGGCATAAAGTGAACCATGAGCATACTAAGTCTTTGCAAAATGTGAATATGCAAAATTGGTACTTCATTATATTACACTTGTGTTTTTGCATACTTCAGCCTTAAAAAAAGGACGTTTTTGGATCACCCCTGACCCCTATCACAAAGATGACAACATCCAGATTGGGAGAGAGGTGAAAATCTCCTGCCAGGTGGAAGCCATCCCTTCTGAAGAGCTTACGTTCAGCTGGTTTAAAAATGGACGGCCCTTGCGAAGCTCTGAAAGGATGGTCATCACACAGACTGACCCCGATGTTTCACCTGGCACCACAAACCTGGACATCATTGACTTGAAATTCACTGACTTTGGGACATACACGTGTGTTGCGTCTCTGAAGGGAGGTGGCATATCGGATATCAGCATTGATGTCAACATCTCCAGCAGTACAGGTAAGGACGCTTTCTTTGATACCAGTTTTACTCTGATATAGCCAAACTATGGCTTTCGTTGACTCATAGTAAAAAGAAGTGTATATGCAGAGCGCTTCTCATCATGGGGATATCTAAGCAGACCCTAGGCCAGGGGCTGAGTTGCTTTGATTAAAGGACAGAAACCTGAATAGGTGGCATGTGGTGCTCTCTCCCAAGAACATACTAATGTCTGATTTACCCAGACAAGCCCTCTTTTACTGTCAGAAAAGTTACTGCTTCTATAAAAGGACTTTGACCTTTATTTAGGTCTTCAAGGCATCCAGAGTAATGAAAAAAATCACTGGTAGGAAGCTGCAAGGAGAAACAGGAGGATGTTATGTTAACCAAACGGAGACCATCCAGCTACTCTAATCGACCAGCAAGTGCCAAGTACGGAGGAAGGAGCTCTTTCTTCTTAAAAGTTACTCATTGCATGTTGATGAATCATGCTATTCCCAATAGGCAAAAAGTTTAAGGCATCTGTTACATACGTTCCCAGATCAGCGATTGAGATGTCTCTCTCTTTGATGAGCTTGACTAGAGCCGTGACTATTACTTTGATTGATAATAAATATCTTGTTATTCCTACTGTGGAATAGGAATATGTAACACAATAGTAATTGGCTGCTTTTCTTTATCCCATTGCTAAAAACTGGTTTGTAACCAATAGATTGCATAGACTTTTCCCCCAGTAGTTGATTTCAGTAACTGAGGTAGTCCGTGTTAATAAAATGAACTAGAAAACATTCTGAATGCAGAATTTTTTCCTGCCAAAAATTAGTTACAACCAAAAAAAAAAGAGTTGTTTCTGGTTGATTTCTACAAAGAAGGATAAAAAAAAGCATTTCTGTTTTCAGAACACTTTTATGTTAAAATGCAGAGGCAAATAATGTCAGTATATATCTACTATCCATCCTGTCTTTTATATGAAGCGTTGCTGTGTTTTTCCTCAGATTGTGCTTGTTATCCATTGGCGTAAGGCACATGGTGCATGCTGTTTAGAAGTAAGATGATAAAGAACACAGTGGAAAACATTTTTATAGCACGGAAAGAAAATGCTTAATAGACATCTTCTGACCCCTTTTTACCAAACACATTCAAGTATATGCTTTCTACTTTTTCAAAAAAATTTTGAAATGCAGACATTTTCCTTAAAGAGTATATCCACATTTCTATTCTCCAATTTTTACATCAGTAATACTTTGCAAGTATATGTCATGTCTAAATAATCTCTCTTACAACTTAAAAGATTGTTTAGATTTTAATACATGAACTCGCCCTCAATCTTCAGTACTATACTGGTACCATGGATTCCGCTTGAGCGCCACATCGCTTCTGAGTCTGGAAGGCTTGCCCACTGAAAGGGTTTAATGAAGACTGTTCTGTACAAGAGGAAGATGAGGCAGGATTGACCTGTGGTTTGGATAGGAGCATGGGAAATAAAGCCATGTGATTGAGTTAGGGGCCATGTAAGTAAAATGGACATATATAAGCCCATGGGACTGGACAGGAGGTATCTAAGGGAACTGACCAGTGTCATTTCAAGGCCACTTTATTATCTTTGAAAAGTTGTGGTGACCTAAGGAGATCCAACAAAGACTGGAAAAACTGAAATTTAGCGCATCTTCCAAGAAAGCAAGAAGGAGATGCAGGTGAGTGCACCTCAGTCCCCGGGAGGTCAGGGAGCATGTTCTCCTAGAAGCCATGTCAATCCACGTGAAGGACCAGGAGGTGACTGGAAACAACACACATGGATTATCAGAAGTGAACTGTGCCTGACCCAACCTAGTTGCCTGCTGTGGTAAAAAAAGTGTCTCTGTGGGCAGGGGGAGGGAAAGGAAAGCTGTTTGCCTTGACTTTAGTAAAGCCTTCAGCACAGTCTTCTGTAGCACCTTTATAGCCAAAGTGGTGAAGCATAGTTTGGAGAAGTGGACTGAGCATAAGGTGTGTTTGGAAAATGAGATGCAGAGACTTGGGGTCACTGACAGAGAGTCAGAATTTGTGTGCGTATAAGTGAACAAGCAGTCAGCATTTACACAGTTCACCTTTGCGATGGCCCACCCCCAAACATAATACACACATGCACAAACTTTGAGAGACAGGAGGAAAACACTAGTTTTATTTAATTTAGTTAGTTCTTATTTTATTATTTGGTATTTATTTTTTATTTGTGTTCAGGCATCCTTGAGTATTTTACTTCTTTTTGCTAAATTTTATAACTATAAACCAGAAGTATTTTTTTTTACTGTTTGATAACTCTTGAAATGCTTTTGCGCGATTTTATGGACTTTTAGTTAACTTCAGAATGACTGTGCTGGAGCAACACAAGGATCTTGGTGAGAGAGTTGTGGAGGGCTGTTCCCTTGCAGTGGTACAGGCTGGGGCTGCCTGGCCCCGGAGCAGCTCTGCAGGGTCCTGGTAGACAGCGAGTGGACATGAGCAGCAGCCTGCCCTGGCAGCCATGGAGGCCAGTGGATACCATGTCCAGTTTTGGACCCCTGATGCAAGAGCGGCTTCAATAAATTGGGCCAAGTCCAGCGGAAGTCATGAAGACGGTCAAGAGCAGCTGGGAGAAGGGGGCTTGTCCAGCCTGGAGAAGAGACAGACCTGGGGTACCTCAGAGCAGCTGTCCCCTGCCTGTAAGGGATGTATCAAGAGGATGGAGCTGGGCTCTTCACAGCAGTGTGTGCTGGGAAGGTGAGAGGCAACAGGCATGAGTTGAAATGAGAAGTTCAGGCTCAATATAAGGAGCAATTTTTTCCCCATGAGGGCATCTGGGTGGGGAACAGACATTGTGGGATCTCCATCCCAGGAGGTTTTTGAAGACCTGATAAAGCCCTGAGCAGCCTCAGGGCTGACCTCACATCTGGCCATGCTTTGAGCTGAGGCTTGGGCTAGAGACCATCTGAGCTCCCTTCCCTCCTCAGTTATCCCATGAAGACTGTAGGGACACTAACCAACAGATTCATTGACAAGGGGCCTGTCTCTTGGCCAAAAGAAACATGTTCTTCAAGCTTCTTTACTCACAGGTAAAGAACTGAGAGGACCATTACAGGGTAAGAGCTGAGTTTGGTGTGATGGATGGCAGTTGCATGCAAACTTTGTTGTCTGCTTGCCAGGGTGAAGTGGACAGTGACGTTTGTGCAGTCATGCATTGCCCATCTGGCAGACAGGAACGCTATATTATCTGTACTTGCTTGGGAATCATTTGGGAAATTGATGGGATTTATTGGAAACATCCATTAGATGGCTGTACCTATAAGCTCGTCACAATTTCTGCAGACAGTGATGAATTATGTCAGCTCTTAAATTTACTGTCCCGTAACACTCAAGAAAATCAGAAAGGGGGAAGAAAAACTAGTGTTTTGGATCAACCTTATTTAGCATCTTAAAAGAAATTCTGCCTATTTGTATGACTTCATTACCCAATTAAGTGGAAGCTGAAATAGTTTCAGTGTGCTTTTGAAGGTCATTACTGATTCATCAAGATTCATTACTGCTGTGGTAATTATGAACATAAGGCCTAGGCACAAAAACGTTTTCCAAATGCCAGGACTTGCACAGATATATTAATATCACGCTGTGTGTCTGTTTGCTGGGTTTGGGGAGAATTATCTCTTCCTGATGTGCACGAGGTTCCTCCTGGAGTCACCCAGCGAGGCAGGAGGGGCTGTGTCACCTCGTAAGGAAGGAGGGAGATGGTTAGGTTTCCTCTGTCCCTCCAGCCGATCGGAAAGGGACGCACCAGCCTCTTGGCATGCTCGGCACTGCACTTGTTTAGCAGGAATATTTTTCCTTTGACATTTTGTACTTTCAGTAGGAAAGGCATAGATTTATGTCCTGAGTATCTTACATAAATGGACCCGAAGTAATCCCCTAGCAGCCTCCACATCTCCATAAAGTAGGTCACTGAATAGTGGAAATGAAGAATCAAATGTTGAATATTTGCCCTATAAAAGCCCTGTCATCCATAAAACCAACCCTGGGCAAATGTTACTGAAAGACAGGATGGCTCTTCGGTGTGTGTGTGCAGACGTCATGGGGAATCTGAAGGCAGAAGATGTTAAAACAGCAAGGAAAAAACCGCAATAAAATAGGCTCATAGTAAGCATAAAAGAGAGGTGGATCAGGAGAGTGTGTTAGTCTTTGTAAGTGATCTTTTCCTCTGCCTTAAATATTGTATTCAAAGCAGGAAGAATAAGGCTTTAGGTGATGTATGGTTTGCTCTGTTCAGTATAGGTTCTTATGCTATCTTTATCCCCCGAAAATCAGTATCAGCACAGTAAGAGATGTAACATCTGTCACTTCTGGCTTATTCCCTTTTCATCTTCCCCCTGGAGGTAGTATTGTGCAGTGAAGTGAGTTGTTATTTCAGGGGGGTATTTTACTTTATTCTCTGGCTGCACTGCTCTGAATTGCTACAAGAAGGGCTGGATGGAGGAGATGGCTGATACTCTTGGGCTGGAGGTGGTGGTGACCCTTCTTTTCCTAAAAGAGTCCTTTCTACCGTTTCACTCCTACTCAGCGTGGGCACAACTAGATGTCCTACATGGCAAATACGTCAACCAAATTCTTCATCTCTGGGTGAACCTGAAGATGTGCTGAGCATGTACCACGCTGGGTACCCAGGGGTAAGCACATCCCAGAGGGGGACATGGACTGTGGGCATGAGTACAGGGCAAGCCGGTGGCCTCCAGGTCTCCTGTTCCAGTTCCGAGGCTAATCGTGTCGACAGATAGATTTGGTTCTACGCAAGTGCTGCCAGAGACAGACAGAGAAATTCCTGAAGAACTAGTATATATGCAGTTGTGTGTCCTTCCTGCAGTGTGATAAGAGGGTTTCCCTGTTAAGCTAATCAGCTATCTATTAAATAATGAATTAATTAAATGCCCAGGCTGTGTTAGGACGTGTGGCCTTGATGTGTTTGTGAAGTATGTGTCCTCTGGTCATCTTGTTCCTCCTTTGACAATACATAAGAG